TGGTGAAGAGGGCTGAGAACTGGTGATTCTGCTTTTTATTTTGTTGTGTGAAATAGCATATGTTGGAGATTGAACTTTTTTAAAAAAAAATGAGTGCCATGAACTGGGTCTATTTTTAGATTTATTTCTTTATTAGATGCATAGCTAATAAAACTGTACTACTCAAGTCAATAAACATACTGCTCACTCCTCATATTTCTCCACTGAAGCAACTCTGTGAAGTGGGTTGGGCTGAGAAAGATTGTGAGTGTTTCATACCTAAAGAAGGAGGATTTGAACTCATGGTCTCTTGGTTTGTAATCCAGCACCTTAACTATGTTATTTTTATTTTATATTATTGATTAAATTTATATAGCCATACATCTTACAAACATGATTCTGGGCAGCATGCAATAAACAATCATTTAAAAATAAATCTAAAATAACAACTTAAAACAATTTTATTATTACTATTGTGTTATTTCTTCTTTTTTGCCTTTTGTTTTTAATCCCCTTTTATTATTTTTTCTTGTTTATTACAAGTACATAATATTATTACACCTCTTACTATGGACAATTTAATTTCTATTGGAGTGTTTTTAAATACTGTATGTTACTACTGTAAACTATGAATATTCTGGACAAGTTCATTAGCATTCAAAGTTTTGTCATTCACTAATAGAACAAATTTCTCACTCCCTTCTACCCTCACAATTATTAAAGAAAGTTGCTTGACAATGTTCATAAGCAATTTCTATATGCACACAGACATTCTCTGTCTGAAGGGTTGATCTTGCACATTACCCTTAACCAGGTCAACTGAAGAAAGCTGATTTTACACAACCTGCTAAATTTAACCTTAAGTAAGCAATTAGCAGTTCTTGTTGTTGGTTTACCATGTTGGTGAAGTTTGATTACTTATGATTCAATGTATGTTGTAAATCCTAACAAGAGTTAATTCAGTTACCCAATAAAGCCTATTACTTACTGAATGCAAGTATAAATCAGAAGAAAGATAACTTTTGAATATCTGAGATTGGCTCTATTCTATATTCACAGTTGTGTGAAGTTGCATTTATATATTGAAAAGTACCTTTGGATATCTAGTCCCCTGTTGGGAAAGTAGAACACCTTTTGCTTCCTTTCTGCTAATAAGGTAGTGAACATTGTGTGTGTAGTGGGAGGAAGCAGAAGACATCCATTGTATTTTGAGTGCCCAATTGTCTAAGAATATCAAAGGATAAGGTAGTATCAGATGAATGTTAATAAATGGCTTCACTTTTCAAATCCTGTTCTCTTTCCCTCTTTCTATTAGGGTTTTTTCTTTATTTATGTGCCTGGTGGCTGTTATTTGAAGTTACTACGGCAACCTGTCACCATCTGGTGTTATAAAGTATGATGAGATTTTGGTTGCTAGGTGCTGAAGTTTGCCATCTCTTTTTGTAAACTGGTATTCTTCTTCTCCCACATATTAGAACCACATATTAAATTCCAAGGAATTGTAAATTTACTAAACTCTGTATATAATCAAGCCACGTTATTCTTTTATATGGATAACTCCTTACTTCCTACATCTTACATTTTAAAATTCTAAAGAATGGGTTTTTTTAGCTAATGCTTCATAACATAGGTATGTAAGGCTACTCAGTGCAATATGACTATTTTTTTTAAAGACTAATCAATCATCTCATCATACTTCTTTTTATGTCAAAGCGTTTTGAATAGTCACTGAAAGAATATCTCATTTGTCTTTGACATGCTGTTTTGGCTTTGGTGTGCTACTGATAGATATAAATTCAGTAATATCTACTTTGTCATCCCACCTGACCTTCACTCCCCTCCCCCAAAAATCTGGCAGTATCCCATATTTCCAAATAGCCAGTTTAGGTAACGGTAATTTTTTTTAATCTTTGAGTTTATTAACTCTGTAAAATGGCAAGAGGTTATTGTGTATTCCATCATTATATTTGTGCATATTATTGATTGCATCTATTGATAATAGATTCATATCTTCCAAACAGATTCATATCTTCCTTTCTTAACATTCTATTAAACATTTCCCTCACCAATCTAATGTTTCATATGGTTATACTTATTTTTATACATGTTTGATCTAGTTTCACTCATGTCTATTTGTATGGTGACACAGAAGTAAGCATAGCTGAACTGCTATGTCAAAATTCTGCTTAAACTACTTCATTTCCTTAGTTGCTAGGTATTTTGGAACTGGCATCAAAGTTCTCATTCTTATGTTACACATGTACCAGAGTGCATATTACAGTCTGTGAGTGGCTATTTGGGAAAAGTGTCTTCATCCTAGGTTCTAGACATCAAATCAAAACTTTAAAAAAATATAAACAAAAATAGGCAGTTGCTTTAAGGATTAGCTGGATGGTCACGCACACCTTGAGTCTACTACTCTTACTCACTTCCATCCATCTCCTAGTCTGTTGATTGACTTGTACAGTTCTGTACATTTGATGCTTTGACAACATTCCTGGGTAACTCCAAAACAAAGATACCGGTACTTTGAAATCAGTCATGTAGCCTGACTGGATGAAAATGAGATGCAGATTACAGAACTAAGTACAAGACAGCTAATGGCAATATTAAGGGTCAGTTGCTTATAAAGTGAAGTTACTGAACGACACTGGTATGAGACAACGTTTCAGCATGAAAATGTACCTCTAATTTGTATTTTGAGCACCCAGTTATCAGTGACTCAAAACTGAATAGCAGAACCATAATTTTAACTCTACTGCCAGCTGAATTGTTTTAATAAAACAAAGCATGTCATCTGTTAGTTCACACTGTTCCCATTTGCAGTTAGTAAATCTGCACACACATGTAGGACAACAGTGCATTTACAATGCTGCAGTACACAGATAGCTAGATTTTGAGAATTAGCTTTTTTCAGACAGATTTACATTTTAAAAATAGTTTTTATTTTGCTGAACAGTATCTTTCCGAAGATGTTGCTTAAGCCACAAGGGATTAGTGGAAATCATTTTGGGAAGGATAAGCAGGAACATTTTGAAAAGCTTTCAAACATGATCAAACAGCTCAAAAATCAAATGAAAAGAGCAACCTTGAATATATAAGATTCTACTGTTTATACTTATGAGAGTTCCTTTTGGTTTCTAGAGGCAATAAAATCAGTACATTTGAATAGCAAAGCTGATCTTCAAACAACTGCAATTTTTAACTCTGGTTTGGCAAGCAGCTGACATTCTAACATCTCCATATGATCCAGAAATGCCTGTCCCTTAAAAGTAAAATATAACATTTGCCTCTCAAAAGTAAAACATAAGCTTTTCTTAAAGAGAAGAGCATTAGTAACAAAAGCTACAGAAATCCTTACCTGAAAGATCTGGGATTACCTGCTGCAAATCTCTCCTTTTAGACCTCCACAGATAACCAAATCTCTGAATAGTGAAAAGGTAACTCCAAAAGCTGAAATAAGTTATCATTTATGTAGTAATTTGCACAGTTTATATGCCAGAACTATACTGGTCTGCTCACGTAGGAATAAATAAAAAAGCAGCACCAACTGAATAGAAGCTACCGTATGAAAGTAAAAAAAAGACCTCTAGTGGCTACAACCTGAAGTTAAAGAGGCTTCATTTCTAGCTTTAAGTACTGTAGTAGACAAAATGGTTGGATACATTAAAGTACAGACAGTTTGCACTCATGAGCCACCTTGTATTTTGCTATTAAAGAATTAAAAACAATCAAAAACATACATTTAGGGAAGGAGAGGTCAGATGTCTCAGGTTACTTTGACGTATACATTTCCAATTAGAATGAGCAATCGTTCTAAATGTGAAGCAAGTCTGATGGACAGATAACCCTAACTTGAATTTTCTGGTGTGTAGTGGACATGCATATATGTTGTTGTTGTTTTAGAATTTTCAAAAAGCTATTTTTTAAAATAATTCTAGGAGAAAGGTACTTGGCTTAGTGTTAAATGCCAGCCAGTTTCAGCCTAGGAAAATTTAATCTACTACCATTTATTAGAGCTTGATGCTTTAAGAACAGGTATAAATCCGTAAATTAGAAAAGTAAGAATACATTTGTCAGCTTGTGAGTTAAATTTTCTTAGGGCTGCAGTTACAAGAACTTCAAACATCTCAAGCAGACAGATGACACTTAAATGGGTGTAATTGACAGCTCATACTGGCTATATTACAAATGCAAGTCATGTTTTGGGGAAGAATTATTAAGATATGTGTAAAAATGTACTTGTAAGAAATGTATGAATCTTCTCAGGGAAGATTTTTTTCCCCTTTGTTCTAATTCTGAGCCAACCTTTGGAAAGGGTGACTGACATTTTTATCACCGATACAGCTTGGCTAATTTTAAGATGTTTTTTTTTTATCTCTTCTCTTTCTTCAACCCTTTTTACACAGCTTTGTTTGCTCAGTGAAATCAATATTAGGACTTCACAAATAGAATTCTTCTCCTTTTAATGAAATGTAGACTTAACATTTTTATGATTATTTGAACTTTCTCTAAGAACACATTTTTTTCAAAACAAAATTCTAGAAATTTCTTGAAAATGTATTGTCTTTTTTAATTTGTTTAAGAAAATAATATTAAATTTATCTGTACCAAACTGTGACATTGTATCTGTGTAGCAAAATGTTGCCCATTTTTATGTCTGAGTCTATTTATTTTGAGAAGTTTTGAAAACTATAGCTCACACAGTATAAGCAGATGTAGTTCTTTTTTCCCATCAATTATTTGGCATGTGTTAATTTTATTAATTTAATTTATCTTTATTTAATTTATTGACCGCCCATCTTACGACTCTGGGCGGTGTGCAATATTAAAAAAGATAAGATTTTACAAAACCTATACACAACATGAACCAAATCATACAATAAGATAAATAGTTGATGAGGTTGATGTTACGGGCATAAGATAAATGTGTTATTTTATCACTTATTGTATTTAATCTAGATTTAATCTAGATGTATATACATTTCATCCCTGTTAATCTGTTTCTTTTGCAGAGTCATTTTGTGGCCTGCATGACAGCAATCCTGGACCAAATGAATAATCAGCATTATTCTTCATACATTGAAACTTTTCAGACGAGCTCAGAATTAGTGGTAAGTTTTCATGGGAAACAGTCTCAAGCATATTCATCTTAAAATGGGCTGGTTTATTTTTCTTTTTGATGTATATAGTAATGAATGTTAGTCTACATAACAGGTTTGCCTTTGAAGTTTCAGTCTTAAAAAATAAAAGTGGGAAATTATGTCGATCAACTAGTATTTTGAGTCAATGTTGGATTATTTCTTTTTTTTAATCAGGTACTTTTTAATTTTAGTGTATTTGTTGCTTTACCATGTCAGTGCAATTTCATGCAAAAATGGGGTGGGGTAGAGTGGTATAAAATGCTAGCACTGCTCTTATTTTTTTTTCTGTTCTGTTGCTCGATTGCTGCAGTCATTACTAGGCATTTTATATAATTGGGTCAGCAATATATATACAAGTTACATTGCAAGATGGGAACAAGATTTCTTTTCTGTATTTGAGGAATGTATGATATTTAAATATAAAAGATAAATATCCATATTTTTTCCACTAGGACTTTTTGATGGAAACTTTCATAATGTTTAAAGATCTGATTGGAAAAAACGTTTACCCCGTGGATTGGATAGCAATGAGCATGGTGCAGAACAGGTAATACAAACCTATCAAGGGCTATAAGACTTGCAGCCTGCTGAACAACTTTAAACATTGGCAGCCGAAAGATTTTGAAAAACCCACCAAGGTTAAATAAATGTCAATTGGGAATGATAAATGAGTGGCTGCATTACCTGGAAGTAAAGCTGTACATTGCTGGCTCTTAAGTTGTGTATGCCTGCTATTAAAAATCACAAGCTTATTCATATTATATATTTTTTCCTATCTGCTGTTATAGTTCTTTAACTATCCTGCGGTTATAGGAAGTCTGGATTTAAAAAAAAAAAAACCACTGAAAGTTTTATTAATTAGAGATGTGAAGATCAGGTTAGCTCTTCCCCATTAAATGGTTAACGGAAGGTGACCTCTGGAAATTTTTTCCACCATATCTTTTTTTTAATTATGTAAGTCATTAGGAAAAAAAGGTCAGTAGAAACTGGACCATTTAAGAATCTGGATTAGATATACATTATGCACGGTATTACATGATCCTTTAAAATACCTTGGTGATCACATGAGCACAGGGTTCTTTTCTATGAAAGGGATTTCTCTGTGTGCAGCCAAATGAGGTCCCTGGTATTCAGAAGCCCCAGACTGAGCCATAGTTCATATGCCAAACTGTGACAAAATTGTTGATCTTTGGTCCTACAGTGTTCAGCAGAAAATGTGAAAATAAAGGTCAGAAGGGGAACGTGAAGTCTGAAGTTCTGGAAGACTCTTATTAGCATTAGGATAACAACCCCCCAAATGTTATAGTTATGAAACCCACATAATCCAAGGATGTCTTAATTTGTCAGCCTCTTGACTACATTCTGGCCTCTGACATAGAAGACGTTGTCCATCTGTAGTCTGATCTGTGATTCCATGTAGTGTTTGCATCCATAGGGATTTCCAAGGGAAGTTGTATATCACAAACAATGGATTTTCTTTGTGATTAACTTTTATGTATTTGTGACCAAAATGCTCAAGTTTTCGCCCAATAGGATTGTAGTACAATTCTCTCTCTCTCTCCCTCTCTCTCTCTCCCTCCCTCCCTCTATCTCTCTCTCTCTCGATAATGTTTTTAATCCTTTTGTGTGAAATTCTTTCTCATTTTTTATTACTACGCTATAGCTTGTCTATAAAGCCATGGTGCATTTTAGGTATATTTAATGTATAGCTCAAATCAGGTGTCATATCAGAATTGCTGCATTGCTTGAATCTACTGATATCTTTGCCAAGTTCCTTCTTGATGTATTCTGAATGGAGCAGGAAGATGCATACTAAGATGATGCTATTTTCCATATTCCCTCTTGCATTTGGGATCAAACATAATTGCAAATACAGAGAACTAGTTTTTAAACAGTAAATGAAGGTTCAGGGGCTAGGACACAAGAGAGTTGCATCAGCTTTGAAAGTCTGGAACTGAAGGAAGATTGCAGGTTGACAAAATGTCTGGCTTAAATCATCAAAGGGTTTTAGGTTTTTGTTTTTTCATGAGAGAGTCAAAATGAGTATGTGAGACCTGACAATAAAAAGTTTGGGCTAGTTTATAAGTTTTTAACCATCAACTCTTTGAATTTACTTGTTCATTCCATACAATTTATAGGTAGACCCTGATATATGACCATTCGTTTAACAACAGATCAAAGTTACAGCGGTCTTGGAAAACGTGACTTACAACATGTGTTCATACTTATGCAGTCGTGTGATCACAAATTGGGTGCTCAGCAACCAGCTCACATTTACAGCTGGCTGCAGCATTCTGAGGTCACATGATCATGATTTGGGATCTTTTTTGCCAATTTCTGGCAAAAACAATAACAAACACCCATTGGGAAAGATGGATCCGCCTAACAATTTGATTTGACTGATGATTGCAATGGCTTACAATGAAAATTCCAGTCCTAATGGTGATTGTAAGTTGAGGAATGAACATAAGTGACTTATACAAAGGTTGAATGAAAAGTAACTTCTTCCAGTTTATAAGGTACCAACAGATGTTAGAAGCTCTGATCTGTTTTTTTAGCATTGCCTATTTAATTCAGTTGGTGGGAAGTAGCTATAAGGAAAGGCTGCATGCTCATCAGTGTGCTTTAAACAATGTGACATGACTGAATTTTTGAGTACAAGTATTCATTGGTTCTGTCCATTCATTCAGCAATTTTTCAAAGTTATGGTGACATTGAAAAAATGGATCTAGAACCAGTCCTCAAAGTTCCAGCCATTGTAGCATTCCTGCAAGCACATGATCATGATCTGGGCTCTTGGATGTCTAGCTCACAATTACATTTAGCAGGGAGCTGCAGTCAATGATGGTTGCAAATGAGGTTTGCAACCTTTCCAGCTGGATTTCTATGAGCAAAGTCAATGGGGAAGCAATCAACAAGGTTCATATCAGAAAGGTGGGAGGCGTCCAGTGAAGTGAGGCAAGCTAGCATGTGCATTTTCTCTGGTGGATTGTGGTAGCATTTCTGCTGAAAAAGCAGCTGAATGTGAGATCCTGGCTGCCAAAATACTCTCTGGACTTGTACTTCATACAGCTGACTTCCGTGAGCAGACAGGAGATACTGTTATTTCTGCAGCTGCAGCTTGCAGTGAGCTGGGAGTCAGGAGTTCCATCATCTCTGAGCCGTAAAAGCAGCCTTCATGGACCCACACAACCTTAAGCAAAACCCTTTTAATCACTTGCAGTTTATTATTTTAATTTCTTCTTTAAGATTGATAAACTGATAATCTGTTCCATGCAAAGCTGACTTGACAATGGTAACGTCGATGGTGTTCAAGTGGTGCTCCAGTTGTTTTGGCATTGCACTCCAGGTGCCTATTACTACTGATCTATCTTTGCTTTCTTTTGCCAATCACTCTATTTCTATTTACAGGTTTTTGTGTTTTGTGATTTTCTCCAGTTCTTTCTCTTCTACTCTGTTGTCTTTAGGTACTGCATGTCCATGATCCAGGCTTTTTTTTGTCTTATGGACAGTTGTTAGGTCTGGGGTGTCATATGGTAGATGCTTGTCTGTTTGAATTCAAAAGTCCCAGACCACTTTAGCTGCTCATTTTGTGTGACATTGTTTATTTTGTCGTTGTTGTTGTTGTTGTTATTATTATTATTATTATTATTATTATTATTATTATTATTATTATTACACTTTTAATTGTTGAAAGGGATAAGGGGGATTTAGACTAAATGGAAAGGGAGATTACATACTTGCCTTGTTATGTATTTTTGTTAATTTTTACTGGATCTTTGTTGATTAATAAGTTGAAGGTTTACAGATGAGGTTATAGAAAATGGGATGAGATATGGAATGAAGATTTTTCTGGTTGTAATCTAAGAGAGCAATAGATTGTTAATTTTGGATATGCTGGTTGAGGATGAAGGGGGGATTTTGATTTCTTACTATCTTTTGGGATAATATTTTAGTTTAGATTTATCTGTTTCATATAATTTTTAATAAAATTGTTAAAAAGAGAAAGACTGAAGAACTGATGGAAAATAATTTGGTGGGTCAAAGACATATTGATATCAACCTTGGTATTTCAATGAAGAACATCGAACGTCGTTATTGGTGTTCTTCAATATTTGAAAGTTTGAACAAGATAAGTTCCTCTCATGCTGACAGCAGAGATAAAAGCTTCAAGAACTGAAATTTGCCAGCAATTGTTGTCATGATATGAGAATAGATATTTCTTCACAGAACTATGACAGCCAGTGAAATATGGCACAGGAAGTAAACATTACTCCATGGTGAATTATCACCAAGATTTACCTGCAAACGGGGAGAGATTCAAAATTCATGGTTACAGAAATTTGGGATGCAGATGGTATTATTTGCATGAATTTCCAGGGACTGTTATTAACTCAGAATATTACATTGCAACACTCAAAACTTTGAAACAATGATAAGGCAGAATTTAGAAACACAAACGATATTTTGCTGCAAATTGATTACACTGGGTCTCATACTTCCTGAGCCACCCAATACTATAGGCAATTGTGATGTTGGATTTCACCACCTTACACCTCCCACCCTACAATCCAGATTTGGGTGCTATAAAACTTCCACTTTTTCCCAAATTGAATGAATATTTTAGAAAGCATATGTTTGACTGAAATGATGAGGAGCAGGACTTCACAACTTGTTTGAAGATGAAGAACAATTAGTGGATCACTCAAAAGGAAATTGCTGTCAAGCTTGGCATTCATAGCAATATGTCGGTCACGTTCAGTGCTCTTTTTGTAAAAAAAAAAAAAAAAAAAGGTGCCGAAACTCACATCTTGTTAATTTTTATTTTAAAAAGTATATATTCAGTCCTTAACATAAATTTAATTTATTGTATTTAAGGCAGATGTTCATAGTAAATTTTACACTAAAAATTAAAAAGAGATTTTCATTTCACCAATGATTTTTTAAAATAAAGAAATTATTTACTTTTCGCACGTAGTCAGTCACTGTACACACACCCACACACGTCAGTTGTGTAATGAAACATAACGGTCGCCGCCCACAGTAAGCATTCAGCGCACGAACAATCACAAGCTGAGCAGTGCCACAAGCCGAGCAGCGCCATCACAACCAATGCAGACGAAGTACGCATGCATCGGACTCGACACACAAGCAGTCTGCATGCATCATTTTAATGATTTTGCCCCTGACCTGCTACGCTCAACGGTCCACGTGGACCAAACATCAAATTTTCAAAAATTACTTTTAAAACTTGGAGATTCCATCGAAAAAAGGTGCCAGAACTCCATTCTGGTGTGTTTTATGACAAAAAAAGACTGGTCATGTTGTTGATGTTTTTCAATATCATAAGAGTTTGTACAACAAAAAGTCCTCACAAAGGGGAACAGCTCCAAAATGAATTTATTTATTCTTTAATTGTGGGGAAAACTTTCTTCAAATTCATTATATTATATTAACTGAGTCTTGAAAGATTCTGGTTTACTTTGAAAAAAAAATGGTTGGGAACAATTGATTTGTTATTTTCTATGTTTAGTTGTCCTCTTATTT